AATTGGCCTCACACCAATCTAGACGTAGATTGGATGAATTGTGTTGCATTAGGTATTTCTCACGAATTTGCAAATCTCTGGTTTGATTCAACAAATTCTGGTGAAGCATTTTATTTTGGAGACAAAATTGATCAAGTAGATTCGTATATTCTTTCTCTTTCTCCAACGAGTGATTTCTCCAGGATACCACGAGGATTAAAAGATCGGGTTCACATGAAAGCTCACGAATGGGTCACTTTTCTTTTAGGAGGTGCGAGGCCAATTGATCCGCAGACAATTGATCCGCGGACAATCGATCCGCAGACAATTGATCTTCACGACGTAAAAACCTCGTGATGTTGTGTCAGCGTCGTAATATACGTGACAAATTTTGGGAACTGGATAAATAAAGGATAAAGGGGAAAGGAGAGGACCTTTTTTTTTACTCAGTAGGAATCTCTTTAGTGACTGAAAAAATATAATTCGGACAGCCCGGACCGGGAATCGAACCCAGATCGTTCGGTTACGCGCCAAAGGCTCTACCAGTTAAGCTACCCGAGACCTTGTCCGTAACTATTATTCAGTCACCTATTAACACCTGACATGAGTAAACACCACCGTCCATCTTACGGTAATAACAAATATTGATTTGTAGTTAAAATTTGTCGTATCGATAAGTCAGCGACACAACCAAGGGATATATATTATCATCGGATCAATCGTCGTGGATCAATCATCGTCGGATCAATTGGCCTCGTACCGTCTAGATTTTTTATGATGTCATAGTTTGGTATGTCACATAAAATCGACTTTCTCTCGATTCCTTTCTTCTTTTCTTTAGTTTTTTCCTCGGTATGAATCAACGTCTGCTCATGACTTCGTAAGCCTTCACCAAAAAATTCCCCGTTGATAACAGGGTAAACTCTAGCGAATCCTCGACCCTTTTCAATTGATTCCCCATGATGTAGGCATAAGCCGCACCCATAATTGCCATTGAATTGTGTAGTGCATTGTACGAGCGGCCGAGCAACAGAATCACATACACTCATCAAAGTAACAACTCTTTTCTTGTATGTTTGACCATTTAATAAGTATGTGAATCCATTTTTCAACAGTTCTTTGGCTTTGGTCACAAACGGGGTTAGATAGGCGTTCATGTTCTTTGGCTTTCCGGTTCCAAACCAAACGCTAGACATCATAATATGATTTCTTCTGTCCCAAGGACTCAACTCGTTTATCGTGCAAAGCACAGGATAAGCAGAAGTGAATACAGAAATGAACCGTTGTTAGATTTTTTATTGATTTCCGAATTACAGTAGCGACATTTCACGAGAAGATCTTTATCGGTGCCATGATACTCATAACATTGTTCACAAATGTAGTGAGTGGAGACATTTTGGGAGTACCGATCGATAAGAATTTTCCAGTAATATTTCAATGTTTTTGGTGTGCCCGAATTACATGAAAGATTTACTAAATTCAAGATATCTTGGGCAACGGTGTGAGTAGTATTGCGCCGCCACTTGATGGCCATAATTAGCAGATTGTTGATTAGTTGACTTTTCGGAATCTTTCTTTCGTTGTCAGATAAAATATGATGAGTGGAGGACTCTGCTATGTTCGGGATCTCATGGGTGGAGGTATCAACTTCATTCGAATTGATATTATCATGACCACTACAATCTGACTGTTGACAATCCTTAAAATAAGAAAGAAGGACTTTAATGATTACACTCAATTAAAAATTCATTTGCGGCCTAGCGAGGTAGTTATAGCATAATTCAAAGTGTACGCAGCGATTACTGAATGATACCAGAGAAATCAGCCAGTGATCTTACGAAAATCACTCAGTGATATCTCAGCGATAGCTGAGAAGGTTTATGAAGAGTTATTGAGTGATCTGTGTAAGATTTGTTAGTCATCATAGGGCGATATTAAAGCCATTTGTGAATGATTTAAAGATACGAATTTTAAAAAAAGAAGTCCCTTATGTATTCTAATATCTCTAAATTCACCAAAATTCAACTTACAAAAGAATTTTTAAAAATTTTTCTTTTTTGATGTATGTTTCAGAAAAAAATAAAAAATAGTCATGCTAATGTATCTTCGATGTTTTTTTTTCTTCAATTTTCGAAAAAGTATAAAAATTTTTTTTACAAATTTTCTGGAAGTTTCAGATGGGGATTAAGAGAAATGAGTTCCAATATAAATAAAATTTTTTTGCAAGTGGGAAAAAAAATAGAATATAGTAAAATGCTACTTTTGAATGTTTCTTATAAAGACAAAAAGAACAAAATTAAAAATTTTAACCGCCCAAAAATTTTGTTCTTTTTCCGTAAATCTCAAGAAAAAAATTGATTATATATTTGCATGACTTTTTGATATTCGTTTACGAAAAGTACTTTGATAAACAAATACTTTGAAAGAAAAATAGTCCCATAAATTAACTCATGACAAAGTTGTAGATAGTTGAAATAAAAAGGACTTTTTTCTTTTCAAAAATGTCACTAGGTCAAAACAACTCAGACAATACAACTCTGAATTTAATAACTCTGAACAAAACAACTCAAGACCAAAATAACTCCGGACGAAACAACTCCGGATGAAACAACTCCCGACAAAAACAACTCCGAACAATCAACTCCAGACCAAAATAACTCCGGACGAAACAACTCGGAGCATGAACTCAGTAATAATTTCATCTAATCTATATTTCATTAAATAATTAAATTAATGTAAATATATAAAATTAATTAAATTAATAAAATTCAATTAATTAAAATGGGGGGCTCCGCCCCCCAACTCCCGCCGGGGCTTCGCCCCTAGACGCCAATAGTTTTTTAATTTAAATAATTAATCGTAATATATAAAATTAATAAAATTTAATTAATCAAAATAGGGGGGTCCGCCCCCCAACCCCCGCCAGGGCTTCGCCCCTGGAACCGAAGAGTTTTTCAATTAAAATAATTAATGGTAATATATAAGCTTGTAATTGTGTTGCGCCCTTTTAACAAGGTTGTTGTGTGTGTTTATTCGACATTATACCAACACATAAGGTTGTAATTGTGTTGCGCCCTTTTAACAAGGTTGTTGTGTGTGTTTATTCGACATTATACCAACACAAAATCTTGTAATTGTGTTGCGCCCTTTTAACAAGGTTGTTGTGTGTGCTAATTCGACATTATACCAACACAGAAGCTTGTAATTGTATTGCGCCCTTTTAACAAGGTTGTTGTGTGTGCTAATTCGACATTATACCAACACATAAGCTTGTAATTGTGTTGCGCCCTTCTAACAAGGTTGTTGTGTGTGTTTATTCGACATTATACCAACACAGAAGCTTGTAATTGTGTTGCGCCCTTTTAAAATTATTTTGGGATAGAGTTATTATGTCAGGAGTAATTTTGTTCGGAGTTGTTTTTGTCGGGAGTTGTTTCGTCCGGAGTTATTTTGGTACGGAGTCGTTTTGGACAGGAGTTGTTTTGACCGGAGTTATTTAGGGCGAGTTGTTTTGACCGGAGTTGTTCTGGACCGAGTTGTTTACGATGGTCACCTTCAAAAATGCATAATTTTTCGTGGTTATAAAAAAAATTCTGAAATTTTTTCGAAAGGGTACAAAGAACTGAAAATGTTTCAGCTGAATCGAAAAAAGTTGGCTTAAGAAGGAGTTGATTCGGCGTAAAGAAACCCAAATATACTGAACCATTTCTTAATTTCTTACTCTAAGTACTGTAGTGTCAACTGGTAGTGAGCAATCAGGAATGGAACTGGACTTATCAACGCAGATGATAGAATTGTCCATGATAACATTTGAATTGCGTTCTGCAGAGGTTGATCCTTTTTGAGACAGCTGTTTGAGCCTGTAATTATAGTGTAAAATATGCATTTATGGTTCGGCTGACTGATTTAAAAAATATTTCTTAATGCCTTCTGAGTTGATAGATGTGTTTGATGATGTAAACTTACTGCTGAGTTAAATGTTTTTTTCGCCACTTACTTCATCTTCAACTACTATCATACTTGGTCCTTGTAGGAATTTTCTTGGTGCTGCTGTAAAAATTTTACTGTTTATAAGGACCTCGGGAACGTTTTTTTTATTATTTTATCCATATTTTTCAGTTAATTCCTTGCTTCATTGTCTTTTCATTTAAAAATGTCTTATGATTTTAATTTTTCGAACATAGAGCTAACGTCAGCATGTTCAAAACAAATTGACGCTCGATATCAATAAAAATAACAATTTTCAAACTGTCATTGATTAGTGCTAAAATTTTTCTGATTTACATTTCCTTCTTTAAATTCGGGCTTTACAAAAAACATTTAACGTTGTAATTCGTGATGTCTGTTCCCACAAAACCAATGTTGGCCCTTGTCCAATGGATCGGAGGCGATTATGATAAAACGTACACCCCAGGTGTACCGGTTGATTGGATTTTTGATTTTGATCTCCTTACATTTGATCCAACGAATGAAGATGAGTCGTATGTGATTGAGTGGCGTGAGAGTAAAAAAAATAATAAGTTGACCCAAAGCTGGAAATATTTTGACGCACGTGTGGTTAAAACTTCTCGTAAGTAAATTTTCACATTTTAATTACAATGATACGTGTTTATTATTGCTCTTGTGTAAGTCTCTCTTTTTTTAGAGCATGATATTTTCAAAACACAATAATAATGTATTTTGGGTTACGTAACACTTCATCCGCAGACAATTCATCCACGACGATTGATCCGCGACATTTCATCCGCGGACGTTTGATCCGCACGATAATTAATCCGCACCACGAAAGATCCGCACGACAATTGATCTGTGATGTGACGTTTTAACAAGGTTGTTCAACACAGAAGCTTGTAATTGTGTTGCGCCCTTTTAACAAGGTTGGTATCGTGCGGATCAATCGTCCACGGATGAAGTGTCGCGGATGAATTGTCTGCGGATGAGCGGTCGCGTCACCGTATTTTGTAACTGATAGGAAGCTTGAAATCGTTGGAAAAACAGCTGGCAATATTGGAAGGGCTTGTTTCACCCTTACGCCCAGAACGTATGACGAACCTAAGGGAGGGGGAAATTCTCGAACCGGCGGAATTAAAGTCGAACATAGGAGAAGGGGGCCTGCCAGCGAGCGAGGGGCCCGAAAGCCAAGAGGGGAATAGTGAGCTACCTACTCCACGCTACTCCTGCTCTCCTGATACCAGCGGGCCAGAATCGCCGTTTATTTAATATTTATTTATTTGTTTATTATTGTTTGATTTGTTTGATTTTGTTCATTTTGGAATTGTTAG